TAAACTACAATTTTGTTTTCCTGAATTTCCTTCCCTGTATGGTTCCAAAAGAGAAATTTGTGCAAGAAGAAATATTAACAGGAAGCAACAGCCACTGCACTCTGAAGGGCATTGTGTTTAGAGGCAATGAGAGAATGACACAGAGGTGCAGACTGATTCTAGCTAGCTCTTGTTCTTCCTGGTACTGTGCCCAGATCTTTCTTCCCCACAGAAATGCCAATGCCATCCATGCCACCAGCAGATACACAGGCAATAGCCTTTCCATAGGCTGCTCCACCAGCACTCCATCAGGGTCCCATCCCAAATTCTTTAACAAGCTCTGAATTGTCTGCTACTTCAGACAGGCCTTTTTGCTGATGCTGCAACATCCATTCCTGGACCATTATTCTCCAAAACTCTTATAGATGGATAAATTCTGATTCCCATAATAAATCCGTATTCCATAAGGCTGAAAGTATTTCTTATTCTGCCTCCCTGATTGAACCCTGATTGATATAAAAAACAAAAAGAAGCTAAAGAAAATTAAAAAAAAAAAAACAGAAAAAAATAAAAGAAAAATGCAGAGCATTTATAGACCACATTATCAGATCCTAATCTAAAAAGAATCATAAATAAATTATTTTGAATGGGAAAAATATTTTCTCTGGTAGTAAGAGAAATATAAATTAAAAGTACAAGGCACATATTTAAATTCTTCACATTAACAAAAATAGAAAGGAGCTATGGTACCTATTTTTCATAGGGGATATTGGGAAAAACATTCTTTCATATATTGCTTTGGAACTGTGAAACATTAGAGCCTATTTTAACCAATAATCCATCTCCTACAAGTTTATCCAAACAATGCAGTTATAAATAATGACCTATATGTCAGGGTGTTTATTGCATTATTGGTCTTGGATACAAAACTCATATTCAGCAATATGGTAAATTAAAATTTATCCTACGATGAAGTCTGATTATTTGAACAGGGAGAAAATATATAGAAAGACACATACTAGATTGTTAACATGAGTGAATGGGTTAATATGGTTGGATAGAAGAGGAAAGGAAGAGAAGGAAGCCAGGAAGGGGAAAAAAGAAAGTGACTATGCATTCAAAAGCAAGTATATTACCAAATTCATGCATTATGTAAAGTTATATAGATGTATGTGTAAAACAAAATTAAACATTAAAAAATTCTCAAAAAAAATTCTCATAATCTAGCCTAAACTAATTTATTCACCAGATTTCTTTTGATTCCCCAGCACAAACTCTCAGCTTGGGTCAGAATATATTCCTTTATCTGTCTCACAAAAATAGCCCAGAATACTTCTCTTCGTTACTTCTTTTAGGAATGTACTCCACCTGCTGTTCATCGTCTGTGTTCTCTGAAGCCTAGTTGATGCGCCTCCTCTTCCCTGAATATACCAGCCCACATGAACTCTCTTCTGAGCTTCATCCTTACTGAATAATTCAGCACTTAATTATAGAGAATCACGAGCTGTTCTCCGATTATCGCATGCCAGCTAGTCGTGTCTCCCCAACTATTAGTCCTATTCTGTTTTCTATTTTTCTTAACAGATGTATCATCAAATTGTACCTTTAGTGTGGGGATTGTTATGTATAGCATAATGCTTGGTATTTGGTTTCCAAACCTGGAGACAGCTAGGAAAGTATGCAGCCTTCACTTCAGATGATCTCAGTTAAAGTTTGTGCTCTGTTACTTCATAAGGGATGTGCCTGGATACATTTTATTTCTCTGGGCCTTAGTTCCAGTATCTGTAGCACAGTTCCCTGATATTTAATGTAAAACTTTAAAAAAACAGCCTGTGTTATGGAAAATGTTCTGATTTTAGATTTAGCTAACCTGGCGTTGAGTGTGGATAGACACTAATAATTTCTCTCATATAGCACTAGCAATTAGAAAATTTCTAATTCTGATTTTCATAGTTGCTGGAAATTTTGTGTGTCACTAGGTTTTAGGATCAAGCCGGTATCTGTGAATGGTCAAGAGCTCTGTTTTGAGATAGATCTAGTTTCAAGTCCTGGCTCAGGCCGCTATGAGGACAGATAGAGCTAGACCACAGACAAGTGAAATCACATGTATAATCCTCATTCACCAAATTTGTATACGATCATAGTCCTGATCTTATAGAGTTTCTGGGAGGAATCAATGAATCCACGCAATGAGCTTAACACAGCACTTGGCACATAGAATAACTCAGTAAACACCAGCTCCTGCTAATATTCTTATTGCCATTAATATTATTCAAGAGCCTTTTGTTATTCACGTGATTCTTCGGAGTCACCCTTTCTCCTTCTAATTTCCATTCCATAATCTACCTTTCTTTAGATATATAGAAACTTCTGATATTTTCTGTATATACTGCTTAATATGTGAAAAACAATTAGAGGCAAATGGTGAGTGCTGTTAAATAGTAAAGAAAGAAGATAATAGCAAACTTCATACCAGAGAAAAATGAACCTACTGGTTGCCAAGAGGCATGTGGATTTTATTTATATATGGTTAGACAGTGATTTTCAGTTATAGTCCCAGAAATCTGACTTTGACAGAAGGAAGCAGAAACTTTTTCAAAGGTAGACTCATGGTAACCAAGTTTAGAGAATATATTAATAATACCAATTCTGTGTTGGCAAAACTGAGTAGCCCCATGAGGAAAAGTGAAATTGGACCCCTATATTATACCACTCACAAAAATTAACACAAAATGAATTAAAGACTCACATATAAGACCTGAAAGTGTAAAACTACCAGAAGAAAACATAAGGAAAAAGCACCTTAACATTGGCCTTGACCATGATTTTTGGATATGATAAAAATTGCAGTAAGTGTAAGCAACAAAAGAAAAAATAAACGAGTGGAACTTCATCAAACTGAAAAGCTTCTGCACAGCAAAGAAATCAGCAAAATAAAAAGGCATCCTATAAAATGGGAGAAAATATTTCAAACAATCTATCTGATAATGAGTTAACATCTAAAATATATAAAGAACTTACACAACTCAATAGAAAAACAAACAATGCAATTAAAATAAGAGCAGAACAATTGAATAAATATTTTTTCCAAAGAAGACTTACTAATGGTCTCCTCATTTGATAAGGAGCATACAAGAAAATATGCTCAACATCACTAATCAGGGAAATGCAAATCAAAACCACAATGAGCTATCACCTCACACCTGTTAGAATGGCAAATAACAAAAAAACAAGAGACAATAGGTGTTGAAGAAGCTGTGGAGAAAAGGAAACCCTTGTGCACTATTGGTAGAATTGTAAGCTGGCACAATTACTATGAAAACAGTATGGAGATTTCTCAAAAAAAAAAAAAATTAAAAGACAGAACTATAGATCCAGCAACACCTCTTCTGAGTATTTATCCAAAGGAAATGAAAACAAGTTATCAAAGAGATACTTGCACCCCTATGTTCATTGCAGCAATATTCACAATAGTGAAGACATGGGAACAACTTAAGTCTCTATTGGTGCATGAATGGATAAAGAAAGTGTGGGATACATATATGCAATGGAATATTACTCAACCATAAACAAGAAGAAAATCCTGCCCTTTGTGACAAGATGAATGGACTTTTATTATGCTAAGTGAAATGCATCAGACAGAGAAAAATAAATACTATATTTTCTCACTTATTTATGGAATCCAAAAAAGCCAAACTCATAGAAACAGAGAGTAAAATGGTGGTTACCAGGGGCTGGAGGTGGAAGAAATGGGGAGATGTTGATCAAAGGGTACAAACTTCCAACCATAAGATGAGTAAGTTCTGGAGACCTATGTACAGCATGATGACTATAAATACTACTATTGTATTATATACTTCAAAATTTTTAAAAGAGTATATATTAAAAGTTATCACCACAAAAAAAGTAATTATGTGAAGGGATGGAGGTCTAACTAACCTTATTATAGAAACTTATTTAATACCTGTGTAAATTGCATTTCACAATATACACAGGTATTAAATCATCACATTGTGCACCTTAAACACATACGTTATATGTCAATAATATCACAATAAACCTAGAATAAAATAATACCAATACTAAAAAAATTATCCTTATGTTGTGGAAAATAATACTGTTCTAAAAATCAACAAGAAACCAACACGCAATAGATGAAATCACATAAATGCAAAATATACTTAACAATCAACTCTTTTGGATTGTCCAGTCATCAAAAAATAAGGCTATTAATTAACCAATTGATTGGCTATTTGTTAATAAAGTTAATCAATTAAATTATCAGGGCTAGATAGAGAATAGATCATTCTGAAGGTAGACAGTCTGAACAAGAAAACATATAAACAGAAAGGCAAACATTGGCAGTACTTCTTAGAGAACTTTTCATGGAAGAATTTACTGTGACCCAAGAGATTCTCAAGTCTCAACACCAAATTGAGATGAGTACATTGAACCATCATAGCCTAGTGCTGTTAACTTTTCAGATCAATATCTTGCCTTGATTCTAGGCTTGACAGGAATCTTTGGATTAGAATCTGTTTTCCAGAGTGTGTGGTATGGATGTCTGTGCTATGGATATGTGTATTTTGGGAAACATATGTACTAGATATATGCTATGACAACCAGTCCCTAAATGTATGTTAAATGATTTGCACATGGTCTTTTGTTGATTAATTTATTAATATTTACTGAGATTATCAAATTATTATTTTATCATGTGAAAATTTTTCTTAAAAACAAGTAGTGCAAAGGTGTTTGTATATAAGATCTTGTACTAGACATTTGTAAGTAAATGCAGTTTCACTAGAAGCTTAGGATAAAACTAAATAAATTACAGATGTGAATGTGCTTTGCAAACTACATAATGAGCTAAAAGATCACACTGAAAATTAATAATATAGATATGATGCTGCAAATTTGTGTTAAATGTTCACACCCCACATGGACTCTGGAGTTGCTACTCTATTTTACTGAAGAGCAAATTTCGTAGGATTGTCTGAAACTCCATCCTTAAAACTCACCTTCATTGTATATGCCTTTGGCAGCCCACGTACTCTTATCGAGCCCACGGTGCGATGAGCACATTTGCAAGCCTGTGAGAGGGAACAAAAGAATAAGAAAAAAAATTGCTTAGAAACTCAGTAGACCAGAAAGACAGTAGAAAATTATTATGGGAAAAAAAAGAGCTTTTCATGTTGACTATGGCTGCTGTAAAAATGCTATCTGGTATAGGTCAAATTAGTTATGAAGAAGTGTGTAGGAAGATACAACTTTCAGTTAATTGTATTAGAAACTAAGCAGGTGGGTAGGTTCTATTTACTGTTATGCAAGCTGATTTAGCTGTCATCTTTGAAATAGCTTAAGATGGCTAGATTTTCCAATTACTTTTTCCCTGAGTGAGTAACAGTCTAATATCCTGCCCACCCAACCTCAAAGGCCATATCTTTCCCTTTGCTCACTCCGTACCCTTCTTTGTAGCCATGCTAAATCACCAGAATCTCCTGGAACTCTACCTCTTTGCCTCTGGAATTTTGTTCAGTCTATATTCTGTGTCTAGAATGCCTTGCTTATCCATCAGGTCAATGGAAAAATCTATTCTTCTTTGAAGATTCAGCTCTAAGACTAACTTCAAAGGCACTTTTTCAAGTGATAACTCCACTTAGAAATAATCGTTCCTTTTAAAAAGCCTTCCCACAGAAATGTTTTCAAGCCTCAAAAGAAACCTAATAAAATGTAATGGAGGAGTCTGTAGAACATCATCCCTTTAAATGAGGAGGATTCTGAGTGCGGAGCGGGAGAACCTCAAGGAGGGTGACAGACTCAAGTCCTCTGGGCTGCAGTAGTGATGTGCACGCCAGCAGTCTAGGCTCTGGGGTCTGAGTGCAGATATAACGCAGCCCCTGTGCCCATCCTCAAGACCTCGGGCCTCTGCGCTCTGGCCTACTGACAGAGCGTTCTGGTGGTGATAAAGAAAATGTGCTTAAATTTCCCAAATATGTGTAAATTCCTTGCTCTGGGCATTTCAAGGGAGGAGTTCAGACTCTGTCTTTTGGATGCCATAACCCATCGTCCAGGAGGTCTGACTGCAAAGTGTGGGACAGTTTCATTCAGCTAGCTGTGACATCAACCCCTGTGTTTGCTTTTGGTGGCTTAGACCAATATTTAGAACTTTGTTACAGCTTTTCTTAGGAAGAGCTTGCTCAGTAGTGATGGAGGTCTACACTACTACTACTACTACGTGCTACTAAAGATGACAATGATACTCTACAACTACTGCTGCTAATAACAACAACACTTTGCAACTGCCACTATTAATGACGACAACAACACTCTACTACTGCTGCTACTAATGATGACAACATGATGCAATTTTGGTTATTGATGGTGATTCATGATTACATAAAATTTCTAATTAAAAATATGATGTAACAGATAGTACATTCCCATCACTCTAGCTATGTGATCTTGGAGAGAGTAAATCTCTGATCTCACATTTTTTCCTCTACAAAGTAGGAATAATAATGACCTAGTAATGTGTTAACAAGCTTTTTATTTTTCGTTTCAGTAAAAGTTGCCTAAGATTATTTAGTTATTATATTATCTAGGTAACCACACATTTTACTAGCATGTCAACTGAATAAAATTGGTTTCATACTTTCTGTACTTTGTCTATTATGTTAGTTCTGAAGTATGAATATTCTTATAAGGGTATAGGCTTCAGAAATTTAATGATCACCAGATAAACATATAATAGAGTCTATTTTATAATAAGTGTCTCTATTATAATAGTAGAATATATTTTATACTATGTTGTATGAAATACTTTTAAATATCAGTTTATAGATCATAAACTGAAAGGGACTTGGAAAATATCTAATTCAACCTTACTTATTTCATAAATGAACAACTAAGACTCTGTGTGTGTAAGGGGCTTGTTAGGGGATGTGCAGCTTCAAAGTTAGAGAGCTGAGACTTGAAACCAAATTTCTTCATTATTCTTTATTACCTAGCACTTCTGTGTCTTCATCAAAGGGTATTTAGATTTGCCAATTGTGCTACTAATATGATAGAAAATAAAAATTATTTTGAACAGACAAAGACTAAATTTTTTTCAGAATGGCCATAATCATTTTGAGCAGAATATAGTCAGGTAAAGATAAGATTTAAGCTGAACTTCAAGAGTACAGTAAGTCCTCACTTAACATCATCAATGGGTCCTGTGATATTAAGTAAAACAATATATAATGAAACCAATTTTACCATAGGCTAACTGATACAAACAAGAGTTAAGTTCTTATGGCATCTCATCATCATTATATTGAAATGATTTTGAACAAAATAGCATTATTTGAAGATGTGCTGTATAAAAGATTTTGATAGACCAAGTATACTACAAGGTTACTTCAGGTATGAGAAATAATAAGTGATGGTGTAGAAGCAGAATAGACAAAGGCTTTGTGAGAGAAGAGGAAGATGGAGCTGGAGAAGGCAGTTTATAGAACTGTAGACAAACAAGGGCAGGAAAGGGCATAATTAACGGAAGCTTAGAAACGTGTCCAATCCAATCCTATGATGGTCAACAAAACTGAAACATCTTGTCTTTTACACTAAATCATTAACTATATACAAAGTATATTGAAGCATAGACTCTAGTTACTGAAAGTAAGTTTTAGGAAGATTAATCTAGCAATTGTGTATGGAATAGTATGAAAAAGTCATAATATATATATCCCCATAGATTGATTATCCAGGAATCCTTAAAGTTAGGTTGAAACTTCAAGGTTGTAACAGTAGAAAGTAAAATATATAAGTAACATTACAAAAGAAACATCTGAATTCCACAGTTGGCTGGAGAGTAAATAAAGGGGAGAGATAAAAATAAAAAGAAATATATCATATTTTGTGCTAATTTTTCAGGATCAGGAAACCTGACACATGTTTTCTTTTGACCAAGTAAGGGATGCAGGGAGAGAATTCAGGCTGGTGTGAGATGATAGGATCAGTTTCAGACATAACAACTTTAAGCTGAATTTGTGACAATTCAGTACCTGTTATAATAGTTAAAAACAAACATTCTGTCATTTGTAATCAGTCAGGAACCTGAGAGAGTGTTAAGAGTAGGAGACATAGATTGACATGTTATGCACACAAAGGTTGGGACTGAACCTATATAAAGAATATGGTCTTGAAGAGAAGAACAGGAAAAAAAGATTACAAAAGATCAAAACAGATTCTTAGCCCACACTGACAGCTGGTTGGCAGAAGAAAGAAAATAAACCAATGAGGAAGTGAAGAGCCATAAGGGGAGCACTGGGGAAAAGTTAATATGATATTTTTAGCTTTATCTTGGGGAAACTCTACATTCTATATATCTAGAATGTAGAGTTGTCCACTGTCCATTATGTATATCACTTTCAAATTGCTAGTTTCTGTGTTAGGATATGTATCTGGCCAAATATTCCATATCTTGTATTAACAACAGTTATAAAAAGTTTAATAAAGAATTTTGAAAGAAAAGAATTATGTTAGACTAGCTCATCATCAGAAACACAAAAGTGAATTGAAATATTTCATTAAAATTTTGGTTTCTAAGTAAAAGTCTCTCCAGACTACGTGTTAAAAGTTATATCTCAAATTTGCTATTGCTGTGAAACCCCTTTTTTCAGGATTTATGATTAAGGCAAAAATTAGGTTTGTAGTCTTACTCAGTGTAAAAGCTTACGCTAGGCTGGTTAAATCCCTTAAATAAATTTACAAATACAAACACCAATATCATAGAGGTGCTATATATAATCTCGAAAGAAATGGAGGAAGGGAGGGCAGCCAGTGTCAGAAGTCTAAATAAAAATGCTGAGAATTTTCAATGTTACTTGCAATCACTAATTCAATGAATGATGATTTCTAAACCAGACCGAATCATTCACTATCAACAGTAAAACACAACTTAATCTACAATTGTTTTTCTTGATCAGGATTAAAGTTGAAAAGAGTTGTTGTTTTTTCTTTTTTCTTTTCAAAGGGAATCTCATGGGAGAGGGGATTTTTTCCCTGAAATGTTACTTTTAACTTGATGTCCAATCCCTTTTTCCTTAAAAAAGTGACTTAAAGAGGTTTTTTTGGTATTAGTGTTTGACAGGCCATGGAATATGAATGAAAATATACTTGTTGCCGTTAACCTTATGGCCAAGGAAATAAATCTGAAATAAAAGTGTTAACATGTCAAAATCTCAATCTGAGAGATTCAGCTTGCTGTGTTTGAAATAGTTATGAATCTTAAAAACAAACAAACAAACAAACAAAACTAATTAATTAGTTCAGGATGAAAGTGAGTCATGACCAAAAATAACCTTGGGAAGCTCACTTTTCCTTAATTTCTGTCTCTGAATATGAGAGGATTGAACTGGGTGAGCTAAAATCCCTTTTTTCTTTTCTCTTTAAAATATTAAGTAATTTCCAAATTATTGAACTGCAGTGATAATCTGTTTCTTATAAACATTCTGTAACCTGACTTTTCCCACAGCTGTATTATAGATATGAAAATGGGTATGGTATATGTAATATGATGTGGGTAATATATTAAATATAAGCATTAGTTTTGAATGAAATAAATTTCCTAAAAAAGTTAATTTATGAGAGGTTTAAAGACGAATATAAATATATGCCATGTGGGAAATAAATACAAAACTTTATGAAATCTAAGAAGGCAAACGTTCTGCTTCTAATCAGGAAAGCTTTTAGGAAATGGGGAGAGAAGAGTACATAGTTGGTTAGCTCAAAATAGTGCATGTGTGTGTAAGTGTGTTGTGAAAATATTACATAGAAATGTAAACACAACATATAAAAAATAGAGATTTTAAAAATTCATGAAACAAACACTCAGAAGTGGGCATTTTGTTGTTTCGTTGGTTGCAACAGTATAGCAACTCTACCCACAGTAACTCTAGGTCATAGCAATTACCCAAAATGTCAGTACAGACCAGCATACATCACCAGGCTGGCAGAAACATACAACCATAGGATTTCACCTTTATGGGGCCAAGTGAGTATATTTCTGAGTATATTCTCTGACTACAATCTAGTAAAGTTAGACATT